TAGTCACAAATCATTGCAAGAACCCTTCTGGCTCAGCTTCGAACAGAACTATGATATCATCGTGGTACATCGTGTGCCTGGTGAGTTTTTAATCAGTTGTCAGAAGCTTTGGAACCCAACGAGCTAATACTTTCTTCATTGGCGGAGATTCTGCGATGTTGGAATTGACTCTCTCTCCAGAAATGTCAACAGTTACTGATTTAGCAACATGACGCGGATTCGGAGCATTCTCTGGATAATTTCTGATGTTGTTGACATGATAGGCCTTCCAGGACGGGGTCGTCTTAAGGCTCCACCTGCCACACTTAAACTCTGCTGTCCATCTCTTTTCGGTGACATAGGAAGGGGCATGATTCCCTAGTGTACTCATATCTTTATGGATGGCTTTTGGTGTTTAGCCAAAGTTTGTTTGTTTTCCAAAGGTCACAGGCGCCTGCTTATTTTAGTGACTAGTCACAGCGAACTAATTAGCTCAACGTTCCTTGTGAGGTTCAGCACTTTTCAATCAACGCCCGTTAATTTATCTAGAGAATGTATATGTGACGTATAGAATAACGCAAAATTTCAAGCTCTCTGTTGTCTCTATTACTTGAAGTACACCCTCTTAATCAAAGCCTATAATGTTTTGGTACAAAGTGTATTGCTACACATTCCAAAACATTGCACGTGTTACCCAGCTCGGCATCAAGGAGATGAAACAAGGACTGTTCGGCTTGGAGTCAGTTTATTGTGATTGATGGTTTCGATGTTACACTGCGACATCTCACATAAACTGCTATCAACATATAATAAATGACATTCTTATTTCAAAATACCTTCCGAAAATGAGAGAATAAAGAACTTTACTATAAATATTGACTTATGTGGTGATGCGGCCGTCAAGTCAGCTATTTCAATCAGAAGTGTTTTATGTGATTTGGAAAAAATATTTTTGACCAATCAGAATAGAGCCTTTTTAAATTTCAGGTAGAATCCCGGTTACGTCTGGCAATGTGTGTGTTCAGGATTACATATTATGTACATGTTATAACAAAATCAGCTTCGTACATCATGTTGTATCTCTAACAAACGTTGAGTAGCATAATATAGCTGGGGTGTTATATGATCGGACCTACTTGACTTAACGTGTGTGAGATAGTTGCAGCAGCCTCCTCACCACACAAGGGGCTGTATGTGTATTTGTGTGATTGTATGCGTGTGATTGTATGTATGTATGTATGTATGTATGTATGTATGTATGTATGTATGTATGTATGTATGTATGTATGTATGTATGTGTGTGTATGTATGAATGTATGTATGTGTGTATGTATGAATGTATGTATGTGTGTGTGTGGTTGTATGTGTGTAAGTATGTATGTGTGTGTATGTATGTGTGTATGTGTGTGTGTGATTGTATGTGTGTAAGTTTGTATGTATGTGTATGAATGTATGTATGTATGTATGTATATGTGTGTGTGTGTGTGTGTGTGTGTGTGTGTGTGTGTGTGTGTGTGTGTGTGTGAATGTATGTATGTGTGTTGTACATAATACCTACATGTAGTTGAGATAGTTGCAGCAGACTCCTCACCACACAAGGGACTGTATGTGTGTGATTGTGTGTGTTAGTGTGTGTGATGGCGTGTGTGTGATGGTGTGTGTATGAGTGTGTTTGTATGTGTGTGTATGTGTATGTGTGTGTGTATGTGTGTGTGTATGTGTGTGTAAGTGTATGTGAGATAGTTGCAGCAGACTCCTCACCACACAAGGGACTGTTTGTGTGTGTGTATGTATGCATGTGTGTATGTATGTATATGTGTGCTTGTGTGTATGTTTGTGTGGTTGTTATTGTGTGTATGTATGTGATGGTGTGTGTATGTGTGATTGTGTGTATGTATGTGTGAGTGTGTGTGTATGTGTGTAGTACATTATACCTAGTTGAGGTAGTTGCAGCAGACTTACCACACAAGGGACTGTATGTGTGTGTGTGTGTGTGTGTGTGTGTGTGTGTGTGTGTGTGTGTGTGTGTGTGTGTGTTTTGTGTGTTTTGTGTGTGTGTGTGTGTTTTGTGTGTGTGTGTGTTGTGTGTGTTGTACATTATACCTAATTGAGGTATACTAACGTTTGTCGTCTGCCTAGGTCATGATATATACCTTCTTCATTGTACTACATTATATCCAGTTGAGGCTCCATGCGTCATCTTCTTGAAACACACAATGGTATTGATCGAGCTCTGTATTCTATTTACATGTTCTCTGCTTTTATATACAGTAGTGCTATTCCAGCTCCATTTCACTGTATTTGCAATAAGCAATCATATATGATGGATAATAGAGGAACGCCGTCCATTCGGGGGATTCAAATACAGTTAACTACGGTTATAACGAACTCAAATGGGCCACACTAATTTGAGTTCGTTATAAGCATATGTACGGCATATACGCAGTAAATGGTCGGAACCAAACAAGTAAGTTCGTCATATCCGTCTGTTCGTTATAAGCATGTTCGTTATGAACTTGGTTTACTGTACATGGAAATCAGCACATAGCTTTGTTGGTCCATTTTGTTGTTCATGTAAATCATCAAAGGAACATTTCTGTTCAGTTAATACTAATCTACAAGACACCATTAAATTCATACATGGTTATGCGAAGCAAACTGGTAATTGGGATGGGGACGGTAATCGATAAGCTCCCTTTAACTGTTTCAGCCTATGGAATTGGCTTTTGGTGTGGTAAATTGCTGGTCGGTTAATGTGGTGTTTCGGTGTTCGTGAACACAGCTACTTAGGTCACGTTGCTGCCCCTCTAGCTGAAACACATTCAACGAAAAGGAATCAGTTAAAGCTTACAGTATCGACCGATTCAAACTTGCTCGCAGGATATTAGGTTTGATTGAGACCAGATTTCACCGGTAAATGTTAACGTTTTTATCAGCTTTGCTGTTTCCGGATGTCATACATCTTCTCGAGCCCTGTGTTAAACCTGAACTTAAATAATCAAGCGTTTGGTGATAACAGTGTGTGTGTTGTTTTACACCGCACATAACATTGTTCCAAGAGAACGATGACTGTGTGCTATTGAGCCCGTACCACACAACCTGTGGTTCAGGTCATGAGAAGCATCCTATTTCGATGACTCTAAACAATGAAACAGCTGTCTGCCACATATTGTATGGGTGCTATTGTTTACGTCGTAATATGATATTCAAACATCTGGTTCAAATGGTTCATAGAATGATAAACGAACTCTCTGGGTACGATCTCATATAAACAACACAGTTTCAGGGCCTCACAACCCGATCCCCATTGTAGTTGTTTTTTACCAGGTCATGAGATACTGGGGGTTAATTTGGTGTCCGTCTCATAGAATAATGAACTATCACTGGATTGCCTTGTCCAGATTCAATTAATTACAGACCGCCGTCATATGGCTGGAATATTGCTGAGTGGGGCGTTAAGCAACAAACAGACAAAACAGACCCCGGTCTTCAGCGATGTCAACGATGGTTTACAGTGCCCTTTTACAGGAAAGCAATGCATCTACAAATACATCCACGGTCACCATCACAAGGTACATAGATGAACGACGTGTCGCCTTCTTCTTGATGATGATAAATGGCGTTAACAACAAACAAACAAACAAACAAAATCGACGAGGGAAATGGCATAACGAATAATTACGGTATGCAATGGTTGACATTGTTTGTGACGGGTGCTACGGGGAGGCAGGATACACTCAACCGTTCGCGAATACGTGGCACATCACTATTTCATAGTGATTCATAAACACACGTTTATGATAACAGTCGGAATCGTAAAATCGGGATTGCGTATGAATATGGAAAAGGTTCTGTTGCTTTTATATACAATTATACAAATATAGTAAAAGAGATTCCGTGGCATTTGTTTGGTAATCAATAAACCGTCTGCGTTTATGTTTTCATTAACCGACAAAGACATAGGCCACTAACAGACTATTGTTTCCTGTTTGGCTGTTAATGGAATGGGTGCTGCATTGAACAATGTCACTGATTCCGATTTAATATTTATTTGTAAGAATTGATTTCAATATCTGTTTTCCGTGTGAAGAGTTTCAAAACGTAAAAAGCGGTGTGCATCCTTTTGTGAACAGTTTAAATATCGATTCAGCCTAAAAAATGTAATTTAAAAATTCTGCATTATATATGATTCGTATTTACTGAAGCATGCTAAGTGAGTCAGATAGATTTAACCGTGGTCTCCACAAAATGTCGGTACACGGTACCGAAACGAATGTTATTCATCTGTGACAACAAGGTGTACTTAAATTAAGACTGCATTATTATGGCAAATAGTCTGTATGTTAGATTCAAGGGCTAAATCGATGCATAACATGTTATTTGAGCGCCGTGTAAGTAACTGGAATACTGTGATATAACGGCACGTAGACTGTATATGTTAGACACCCGTGAGGATTTCGGGTAAGAATTAGGTTAAAAATATAGTAAGAATATAGGTTCCCGACAACCTCTGTTTGTCGTAAGAAGCGACTAAATGGATCGGGTGCTCAGAATCGGAGACTAGGTTGGTGCATGTCGTATCCCACTTGTGTGGATCAATGCTCACGATGTCAATCACTGGATTGTATGGTCCAGACGCGGTTAGTTACGGACTGCTGCTATATACGGGTAGTTTTGACGGTGCGCTGAGTCACATACCCAAGCAAACTGTATATTAGAGTGTAGCAGATTATCACATCTAGCATCACAACACTAACACTGAGTGTCCATTCCCAATGACTTTGTAAATATGTTATTTTTAATACCAAGTCCTTGATTCCAGGTCCCAAGGTCATTCTTACTACTTCTCAAAGAGAAGTACGGACGACTTGCTCCTTGAAACTGCCTGTCTTTGTAATCACGAATCAAATGTACAAAAACCCATTATGACATCAGCTATCGTAATTTTTATACATTTTCTTAAACGATATCAACAAATTACAATCGTCTCTATAACGAAAACAACTCGTTATACAGCTTACCTTTGGTATCCAGGATTTGAGACGCCTCCAAAGCAACCCGCCCCTTTAATATGCCTCCTGGATGGCAAACTCCACTGGAATTGGTAACACAAATATCAAAGGTCTGCAGCTTCCCCATCATTTAAAGTATGAAACAGCAGCTGTGACTTGAAGCAACATCAGTTCATCTGCGACCACAGTCGGCGGTGAACTCGGCTGTCCCCGCAACACGGCACTGCGCGTCAGTCTGACCGCCTCATGTTTATAACTGTCTAATGCTGCGGCGCTGTCACGTATTATAACTTTCTCCAGGCTACGTGTGATAGCAGTGATGGTTCCTGTGTGTTGACATTAAACATGTTTACGTAACAAGATGTTTTAAGATGGAGATGACTCTATGGCTGGTATATCATTCTATGGGTTAATATTATTGGAAAATCTTCTCTGTGGGTATATCTTCGATAAGAATGTTCGTGTACGGAGTGGAATATGCATTAGTGCATTACTCTGGGGAATATGTCCATTTTAAAAGTATGGTAACATCTATCAGTCAGGATTTCCGGTTTATACAGATAACCCCAAGCCGTTATACTGGAAACCCCACGCCGTTATACCGAAAACCCCACGTCTTTATACCAGAAACCCCACGCCTTTATACCACAAACCCCATGCCTTTATACCGGAAACCCCACACCGTTATACCGGAATCCCCTACGCCTTTTTATTAGAAACCCCACGCCTTTATATCGGAAACCCAAAGCCTTTATACTAGAAACCCCAAGCCTTTATACCGGAAACCCCACGACATTATACCGGAAGTCCCACATCATTATATCGGAAACCATGTGATTTACCAGAAACCCCACGACGTCATACTGAAACCCCTCGCCATTCGGTCAATCTTAATGGGAACGTCTATATCTGTACAAACGGTTGTAACTATTATATTAATCCGTATCCCCAAGTCGTTCAACCAAACAATTTCACTGATTACGCAATCATCCGGATTGACGGTGTTTCTTCGTATGTTACTGCGGTACAATTGATGATGGATTTGAAAATGAAGCAGATATAAATATGAGTGAGTGAGATGGGTTTCAACCCCGGTTACAATAGGTTAATAACACCTCGTGTGTGTCATTACTGACAGCTAACATAGGAACCAGGTGGTCAGGCTCTGTGACTCTCTCTGTGGCTTGACTGATTGCATGTCCTCGTTTCACAACGGCCTGGGTTGTTGTTCATGCTGTCAATCACTGGTTTTACTCGTTAGTATTATTAAGTGAATATTATTATAGGTCGTAGCTGGAATAGTACTGGCTGTGGAATTAAACAACCCTCGCTCACCCATACACACGTTGCATATAATGTTCCAGCACAGGAAAATGGCTTATTGTTATATTTTTTTTATTACAACCTTTTATATATTGGTATATTTCCATTTTTTTTTGTATTATACATTTCCTATGTAATTATCATTGAAATATTAAAAGCAAACAAGGAAGGGTATTCAACTGGATGAGAACAACAAAAGAATACATCCAAGTGAGTTCATTCTCTGTGGGTAAAGTGATTGATTTATGCCACGGTCGGGCGTGTTGTGGACATAGCTCGTCACATTTGATAGCTAAGAGACATGTATCTTACATAGCTATGTACATTTGATAGCTGAGAGACATGTATCTGACATAGCTATGTACATTTGATAGCTGAGAGGCATGTATCTGACATAGCTATGTACATTTGATAGCTGAGAGACATGTATCTGACATAGCTATGTACATTTGATAGCTGAGAGACATGTATCTGACATAGCTATGTACATTTGATAGCTGAGAGGCATGTATCTGACATAGCTATGTACATTTGATAGCTGAGAGACTTGTATCTGACATAGCTATGTACATTTGATAGCTGAGAGGCATGTATCTGACAGAGCTATGTACATTTGATAGCTGAGAGACATATGTAACTGACATAGCTATTTACATTTGATAGCTGAGAGACATGTATCTCACATAGCTATTCACATTTCATAGCTGAGAGACATGTATCTAACATAGCTATTCACATTTCATAGCTGAGAGACATGTATCTGACATACCTGTGTACATTTCATAGCTGAGAGACATGTATCTTACATAGCTATATACATTTGATAGCTGAGAGACATGTATTTGACATAGCTATGTACATTTGATAGCTTAGAGACATGTATCTGACATAGCCGTTCATATGTAACAACTGAGAGACGTGCATCTGACATAGCTGTTCACATTTCACAACTGAGAGACATGTATCTGACATAGCTATTCACATTGTATAGCTGAGAGACATGTATCTCACATAGCTATTCACATTTCATAGCTGAGAGACATGTATCTAACATAGCTATATACATTTGATAGCTGAGAGACATGTATCTAACATAGCTATGTACATTTGATAGCTGAGAGACATGTATCTAACATAGCTATATACATTTGATAGCTGAGAGACATGTATCTAACATAGCTATGTACATTTGATAGCTGAGAGACATGTATCTAACATAGCTATGTACATTTGATAGCTGAGAGACATGTATCTGACATAGCTATGTACATTTGATAGCTGAGAGACATGTATCTAACATAGCTATGTACATTTGATAGCTGAGAGACGTGTATCTAACATAGCTATGAACATTTGATAGCTGAGAGGCATGTATCTGACATAGCTATGTACATTTGATAGCTGAGAGGCATGTGTCTGACATAGCTATGTACATTTGATAGCTGAGAGACATATGTAACGGACATAGCTATGTACATTTGATAGCTGAGAGACATGTATCTGACATAGCTGTTCATATTTCACAACTGAGAGACATTGATCTGACATAGCTGTTCACATTTCACAACTGAAAGACATGTATCTGACATAGCCGTTCACATTTCACAACTGAGAGACATGTATCTGACATAGCTGTTCACATTTCACAACTGAAAGACGTGTATCTGACATAGCCGTTCACATTTCACAAATGAGAGACATGTATCTGACATAGCTGTTCATATGTTACAACTGAGAGACGTGTATCTGACATAGCTGTTCACATTTCACAACTGAGAGACACGTTTCACAACGGCCTGGGTTGTTGTTCATGCTGTCAATCACTGGTTTTACTCGTTAGTATTATTAAGTGAATATTATTATAGGTCGTAGCAGGAATAGTACTGGCTGTGGAATTAAACAACCCTCGCTCACCCATACACACGTTGCATATAATGTTCCAGCACAGGAAAATGGCTTATTGTTATATGTTTTTTTATTACAACCTTTTATATATTGGTATTTTTCCAATTATTTTTGTATTATCATTTCCTATGTAATTATCATTGAAATATTAAAAGCAAACAAGGAAGGGTATTCAACTGGAAGAGAACAACAAAAGGATACATCCAAGTGAGTTCATTCTCTGTGGGTAAAGTGATTGATTTATGCCACGGTCGGGCGTGTTGTGGACTACAAAAGCTAATAAAGCGTTGCTGTAATTGAAATTGACGACCCATGTTCAGCGTCTGGGTCATCTGTGATCCGACCATCCACTGCATGGCCACTATATCACCCAGCATCACAGATCTCAGCAGACCCTAGATCACAGAGCTTCAAGGAACGTTTAGTCAGTAGCAACCGTGTCAATCATTGCGCTGCATTATGCATCCCATTAAGCTCTGCGCAAGTCCCAAGTGGCAAGATGTTACATTAACATTTTCAGAATATTTCAAATATGATAACCCATTTATGTGATAAAATTATATCAATCTATATTTTCCTCTTTAATTCATACATCTTTAATATTCCCATTTCAGGAGCATATTGCCACGGCCTATTGTACCAAGTGGTCCATTATGAGACATGGCTGGACATAGTTTTATAAACATCTGAATATTCGAATGAAGAGTTGTATAAATAGAGTCTTACACAACACAGAGTGACGTCCCTTATTCGTGATAGGATTCGATGATCGCGGGTTTCAATCCGAGGTTCGCCCTGATCATGATACTCTGTTTGTGAACAGGACAGTCGTTCTCGTGAGTGTCACAAAGTAAACGTCAATGCAATCACGTATCCCTGCACCCACCACCCCCACCCCCCACCCACACCCCCACACACATTAAGCATACATTCCGTCACATGCTGTTCAAGTCGGCGTGGTACCCATCATTCACTCACTCACTCTCCGCGCTATCCGCTTCACTTTCAAATACATGAGTCAATTGCTGGTTTAATAATTGGGCTGTATAATGTATGTCAGGTTACAACTGACCATTTGTTCGACATACTTGTAAATAGATATAGGGGCGGTGGGGTAGCCTAGTGGTTAAAGCGTTCGCTTGTCACGCCGAAGGCCTGGGTTCGATTCCCCACATGGGTACAATGTGTGAAGCCTATTTTATATGTCCTCCGCCGTGATGTTGCTGGAATATTGATAAAAGCGGCGTAATCATACTCACCCACTTAATCACTCACTGTAAATAGATAAAAGGGATATCTTATTGGGATATCGCCGGATATCCGGGCGGACGCTCTACCACTAGACCACTCGCATTTTGAAGGTGGCTAAATACGAAGCAAACAAGAAATTAATATTCTATTGAGATGTATTTGATACGGATATGTTTTGGTGTTTCGGCAACTGTTTTCAGCCTAGTAACGTTATGGTATTTTTTGGTCAAATCCAATTTTCAAATGTATACTTTCTTTTACCCGGCAGTGTATTTGCATAAACTGGAATGTTTGATTGTGTTACTTCTCCGATCTTTTGATGTGTGTTTCGGGTTACAAATCAAACGTGAAGTAAAGCTAAGAGGAATCCCAAAGAGATGGATGTACAGAACACGACAATGCAGCCACTGGGTCGCACCTTGGGATAAGCGTATTACCCAAATCAATATTCGACTCCCTGGACAGTTCGTTGCAATTTACAAAAATGTGAGGAAAATCGTTCTATTTCTCAGAGGACATATATGTCTATGTAAATATTCCATTAAAAACCGCATGTTCCGAAACATCATTACACATGAGAATGTTTCTGTCAGACGTTTTAGATCGGCGGAATCCAGCATTCTGTGAAGGTCTCAAAAAGGAAAAAAGGATGTTGGAGTGTCGTTTTATTAGATGGTATAAAACCATAAAATTATTAAACCCCGTGAAGTGTCCTTGGAAGGTTAACAAGAGAGCGAACGTCTGT